GGAGTACAGTAGCACCCCCATGGCCACTGCTGCATCAACCTGCTGGGTTCAGGTGATCCTTCTGCTTCAGCCTTCCAAGTAGCTAGAACTACAGGCATGCGCCACCATGCCCGGCTAATTTTTTAATTTAATGTAGAGATGAGGTCTTGCCAATTTGCCAGAGCTGGCCTCAAACCTGTGAGCTCAGGCAATTCTCTCACTTCGGCCTCCCAAAATGCTGGGATTATAGGCCACACCCGGCCTGACAGCGGGGTATTAATAGCAAAGCAGCACAAGGGAAGCTTCTTAGGCTAGAATGGTATGTCAATATGGGCAGTGGTTACACAGGTGTCTAATATAATTTCATCCAGTTTTACACATAGGATTTATGCCACTACTATCTATTTTATACCTCAATAAAAATAAATATAAGTGGAAGTATAGGAAAGGCTAGGGGATATAATAAATATGGAATTTGGGGGGAAAGTGTATTTGGGTGAGATTATCCAGGAAATAAGTATAAATAGAAAAAAAGGCCAAAGACTAGTCTTAGAAAACTTCAATCTTTAGGGTACAGAGAGATTAAGAAGAACAATGCAGTAAAGGATCATAAGAAGTAACTACATAGGAATTTCTTACAACAGAATTTGAAAAATTTAGTAACCTTTCCACTCTTCAGTAGAAAAAGACATTTAAAATGGTGATTTCATGGGAACTAAGTAAACCTGCCTATAATATTAATCACATATGGTACACATAAGATGAAACATAAAGAATATAAAATCAAATATGTCAGTCATATGAAATGCTCCAATTAAAAGACAGTAACAAATTGGATTAAAAATAAAATACCAGCCAGGCTCAGTGGCTCAGCCTGTAATCCTGTGCCTTGGGAGGCTGAGGTGAGTGGATTGCCTGAGCCCGCGGGTTCAAGACCCGCCAGGGCAACTTAGTGAGACCTCTTCTCTACAATAAATCAAAAAATTAGCCGGGTGTAGTGGCACATGCCTGTAGTACTTGGAAGGCTGAGGCAGAAGGATCACCGGAGCCCAGCAGGTCGAGGCTGCGGTGGCCAGGAGCGGCCACTGCACTCCAGTCTGGGTGACAGAATAAGACTCCAACTCAAATAAATAAACAATAAAATAAAATACCAACTATATGTTGTATTTATATGAACATCCCTAAAATAAGCTATAGTTCTACTGGCCAAAACAGAATTTTCAATATTAACATTATAAAAATCGAAATTTAACATCATTATGTTTAAAGATAAAAACTACAGTAAGCAGTGAAAAATATAGCAACTTAAAGTAAAACCCCTATATTAATAGACCTTGAAATAATCAATAATATATAAATAATAAAACAATAAATAAGCCATCTTCATTCATGCTAAATTTTTATTTTTATTTTTGAGCCAGGTCTCACTCTGCTACTGATGCTGGAGTGTGGTGGCACAATTACAGCTCACCACCGTCTGCAATGCCTGGGTCCAAGCAATCCTTCCACTTCTGCCTCCCAGGGATTGCAGATGTGAGACTGAGAATATATAAATAATAACCAGAGGATATGTAAATAATAGAATCACCAAGTATAATAAAATTTTATAGAACTTTATTTTTTACAGAGAATATATATTATTTCACATTGTATGTTTCTAAAACATATACAAAAGCCTAACTTGTATTTGGCCACAACAAATTAGTTAATGTTTTAAGTTTTTAATAAAGTATTTACAGGTCATATATTATGATCCCATATGCTAAAATATGCTCAATCTTTCTCAGAACTTTTTGAAAATTTAGAAAGACACACACACACACAAAAACACACATGCCCCAAGTAAATAATGAATTAAAAATAAAAATGAGAATTATCTAGTCATTAATTTTTTTAAATTATGGGTTCCAGCTAAAGCAACATTCAAAAAAAATCTTATAGCTTTAAATGGTTCCAGTTTAAAAGGAACTGAAAATACATGAACTAAGCACATACATTCCATTAAATAAAACAAAAAATACACATACATAAAAAAGAAATCAATAATAAAATGCACTTTTGACTTAGAAAAAAGCAAAGAGAAATAGTTGAAAGCATAAAGAAAGCCAAGAAAAAATTTCTCTGAAGAAAATTAAAATGAATGTAACTCCTTCAAATCAATTTAAATAAAACAGTTTTTTTAAAAACTGAGAATAAAAATACATACACAGAATAGAAAATTAAAAGATGAAAACATGCTTCCCAACAGCAATAAATTTAAAAATCTAAAGAATGAAAACATAAAAAGCACTCATGAACTATTTTGTCAGTTGTAAAATTCACTTTTTACCCCACATTTTAATGTCTCTGAAATTGGGATTCAACTTATAACTATCTATTACAAATTCATTCGCTGGAATTTTAAAATTAGTAGTATATTAAAAATGGTGCATCATACAGTATGCAGCATCTTTGATTTAATGCAATCAGGTACTTTCTTCTGTTTTTAATCATTCCAATTGCATATCTTTTCAGAAACGTTTAAAGCCTAATTTCCTCAAATTATAAAATAACTAATACTGATACATTTTCATCTTTTGTCCCCCTTTCCTGTGGTAAATGTGATTGAATGCCAGAACAGTCTCTTAAGGGATGCAACTAGGGTATAAAGGAGTATAGAAAAGTTTAGTCAGAGGGATTTTTTTCCCAGCCTTCCTAAATACGGTTTTTGCTTTATATTCCTTATATGCTAATCATTTCTATGCTTCTCTGAATTAATTCTGATGATTAAAGCCCTTTCTCTAAGATGTTCATTTTAATTTTCAAAATAATTATTAGTTACATGTAAAAGTAATATATACAAGTTGAGTATCCTTATCTAAAATGCCTGGGATGAACAGTGTTTTAGATTTTGGAGTATTTGCATTATACTTACCAGTTGAGCATTCCTAATCCAAATGTCTGAAATCTGAAATGATCCAAGGAAAATTTCTTTTGAGGATCATGTCAGTGCTTTAAAAGTTTTGAATTTTGCAGCATTTCAGATTTTGAATTGTCAAATTAGGAATGCTCAATCTGCAATTCATAAAATCACTAAAGAGATGTCCTTTTCTCATTCATAATGTTTATCTTATCTTTATCAGAATGGCTATTGTATCTTTTTTTTTCAAAGAAGCAAGTTGTGATTATTGATCTAGGTTTTTTCTTTTAAAATTATGTTTCCTTTATTTTTACCTTTCATTACCCTTAGGGTTTTTGTTGTAGTTATTCTATTTCTAAATCCTTGGGTTACATGCTTTGTTTCTTTATTCATAACTTATTTAATATTCTAACTTATGAAAGTATTTAGAGTTATATAATTTCTTCTCAGATATGACAGGTCATCATATGTTTTGCTATGCAACTTACTCACTGATATTTATCGTAAAGAAAAAGTAGTTTTAGTTTTGACTTTATTTTTAATCAAAGAATCATGCAGATGAGAACTGAATTAGTATTTGGATTTTTAATGGAGGGACTACCATAGTTTTACTTTTATTTCCACTCTGGTATAAATTTTATGGTAATTTACCTTCTCACACTTTATAATCTCGTATTTTTATTAGTATAAATTACTCTTATTCCATAAGGAATGAATGCTATTATAACTTTTCCTGTACTCATTTACATGAGTGTGTTTCTTCATTATGAGGTCTCTGTTGTTAAGTAAGGTATGAATCATGGTTAAAAGTTTCTCTAAAAAAAATAAAATAAAATAATAATAATAATAATGAAGCTTGAGAAAATAATAACAATGGTGATTGCAATATTAACTAAACATTTATCACGTGATAGGTACAATTATAGAATACACACAACGAACTTCTGAAGTACCCTGATAATATCCACATTACCATATGTACATGATATATGCACATAAAATGATCTAGACAAATAAGTATGTTTGTTTTAATGTTGGAAAAAAACAGGCCTGTGATGTTGGTCAAAGGAAAGGGCAGCTTTATCTGTTATGTATCAATCTTTTATAAGCAAAAGTCAATCCACACATTATCTCTGAAGAGAACAATAAATAAATAAAGCAGACACATTCAAAAGGGGCCATCAAGGTAACTGTTTATAATGGCAAAAATTCCAATACTTGACAAAACTGGGGTTAGATAAATACAGACAAGTAATAAAAAGCCAATAAAACAGTAACAGTATATTTACAGACAAAGACTAATAAGGGCTGTTTATAGTAAAGCAAAATCATACCTTGTCTCCAAAACAATGAGAGATAACAGTCTTAACAGGTTTGCACCAAGAGTTTGACAGTGTTTATGATTGGTAAGATTACAGATACCATATCCATTTTTTGTTCTTATCTACATTATTATGTGGGAAAGCTGTTTGGCAAAATGAAGAGTATAACTTTATAAAAAGAAAACAGTTTTCTACAACAAAAGGTACCATCCATTATATATTAAAGAACACATAAAAGTAATAGTTACTTAACATAAATAGGGAAAGACTTAGATATATATACGTAAATTTTAAAAACAAACACTGACCTGATATCCAAGTTTTATAGGAATAAAAATATAGCTTACTATCAGTCAATTAAAAAACAATATAAAAATAGATAAGGTTATTAAATAAATGATGTTAGGATGATAATTATGGAAAGATACTAACGATATATTTAGACATTTCATAAATAAAATAACTGAGATGGATCAGTAATTTTGTATAATACAAATAAAATAAGACCATTAAAAGATAAAGTAGCAAGGTTAACCCAAAAATAACTTTTTCGATGTTTAAAATAAAGCAAAATATAATAAATGGCATTTTTTCATTTTTAACATTCTTATGAATGAATAAAAGCAAGACAGGGATGAATGCATATAAAGATCTTCAAACATTTATTTTATTCAGGGTAATTTTTTTCCTATATGAATTATCATAGGCCCACTAACCTGTAAAGCCTAAATAAGGCATCTGTGCCTTAATTACACTGGTAGAGATTTTCACCACTATGAATTTTTTATATCGTATGCTGAAAGTCTTTCTGTCACCATACAATTTCAATTCATAGAATTTCCAATTCACAGAGCTTATTACCATTATGACAATTCTTATGTTGTGGAAACTCTACACCCCTTCCATAAGCCTTTCCACAGTTATTACATTTATAAGGTTTCTCACCAGTATGATGTCTCTGATGTTGAGTAAGGCTGGAGCCACTACAAAAAGCCTTCCCACATTCCTTACATTCATAGGATTTCTCACCAGTGTGTATTCTCTGATGCCGATTAAGAGCTGAGCCACTACTAAAGGACTTCCCACATTCTTTACATTCAAAGGGTTTTTCACCAGTATGGGTAAGCTGGTGTTGAATGAGTTTTGAGCCACTACTAAAGGCCTTCCCACATTCCTTACATTCATAGGGTTTCTCACCACTATGAATTCTCTGATGCTGAGTAAGGTCTGAACCACTACTAAAGGTCTTCCCACATTCCTTACATTCATACGGTTTCTCACCAGTGTGCATTCTCTGATGCTGAATAAGTTTTGAACCACTTCTAAAAGCTTTTTCACATTCCTTACACTCATAGGGTTTTTCACCAGTGTGAATTCTCTGATGCTGAGCAAGATCTGAGCCACTATTAAAAGCCTTCTCACATTCCTTACATTCATAAGGTTTCTCACCAGTGTGAATTCTTTGATGACGAGTGAGGGCTGATCCAAAACTAAAGGCCTTCCCACATTCATTACATATATATGGTTTCTCACCGGTATGAATTCTCTGATGCCGAGTAAGAGCTGAGCCACTACTAAAGGCCATTCCACATGCTTTACATTCATAAGGTTTTTCGCCAGTATGAATCCGCTGATGTTGAGTAAGGTTTGAACCACTTCCAAAGGCTTTCCCACAATCCTTACATTCATAAGGTTTCTCACCTGTGTGAATTCTGTGATGTCGAGTAAGGGCTGATTCAAAACTAAAGGACTTCCCACATTCCTTACATTCATAAGGCTTTTCACCACTGTGAATGATCTGATGTCGAATAAGGCCTGATCCAAAACTAAAGGCTTTCCCGCATTCCTTACATTCATATGGTTTCTCACCAGTGTGAATTCTCTGATGGTGAGTAAGGTTTGAGCCGCTACCAAAGGCCTTCCCACATTCCTTACATTCATAAGGTTTCTCACCAGTATGAATTCTTTGATGGTAAGCAAGGTTTGCACCACTACCAAAGGCCTTACCACATTCTTTACACTCAAAAGGTTTCTCACCAGTATGAATTCGTTGATGTCGAATAAGGACTGACACAAAACTAAAATCCTTCCCACATTCCTTACATTCAAGGAGTTTTTCATCAGTATGAATTCTCTGATGCTGAGTACTGAAATTGGGCATGTCTTCAGGAGTAAATATCATTTCACTGAAATGTCCTTCCTGAGATCCCTGCTTTCTCTCAAACTGGCTTTTACATTCCCAATCACCTCTGAAACTTGAACACTCAATGCTGTGTTTTGTAAGTCTTTCCATTATCTCCCATCAGGATGATTCTATTCCATTAATATCCTTTTTCAGAAATAATGTCTTGGTCTCAACTTTGATTCACAGTCTGAAAGAAAATATAAAAGCAAACATTCACTTTTATTGTGTTCTGGGAGAGATTAAACTTTTATAATAGATATGAAAGACTTAACTACAATTAATTTTCATAAAAACTGAGTGGCTTATACAGTTCTCCAATGTGATTGGGCAATTTGAAAAATAGATAAGGAAAGGAAAGAGAATGGGTAGAAGTCAGACTAGAAGGTGAAGGAAGTATTCAGGAAAACAGATTAAGTCAATTGTTCCTAAATCATAGTTAAAATAAAAATTTCTTACAGACTTTGGAGCTTGGTAATTATACAGAAGTCCAGGCTCTGCCTTAGTTGTTTTCACACATTAATCTAGTGTTATAAACATTTATAAATGAGGGTAATTATCATACTCATTTCTTAGGATTGTTTGGGGCATTAAATTTTTCCTGGGAGGAAAAACCTGGAATCATCAAGTAATAAAATAACTTGCATGTAAACTGAAGAAGAAAGAAGAGAAAGGTAACCCACATGGAACAGCTTCCAAATGAAAGACTCATGTACTGAATGAGTATGGAATGAGTAATGGCGAGGGAAGATTCTTCTGTGATTAGCATGTGGTTTGTTTACATTTTTGATAAAATCAATGTTTGCCTCTGAATTCTATGTGGCTAACTTGGAGAGAACAAAAGAGGGAACTTAGCAAGGATTCAGATAATCTAGTTTTAAAGTCAAAGACAAGGGGAGAGAAGATAGGAGTCAATGTACTATTTCTAGAAGATTATAAGAAGGATGAAGATGCATGTACACTCGGAACTTCAGCTCTGATGATAATTTAATGATTCGGATCACACCTAATATACTTACATACTAGCATAAAGTATGCAGTGTTTGGTAACTATTACTTTAAAAGACTTATTTGCCATAAAAATAGAGACTAGGAAAGGGAATGGATTTAAAGATACCAGTTAAGACCCTAAGCAAATACATCAAATCCCAAAAGGTAAGAACATTCCAGCATTAATCTCTTCCTATAACCCATACAGTGAGCTTGTTTAGGCAGGGCTTAAATATGTCTTGAAATTGTTCTTTCAATCTCCACTGAATTGGCTAATTCAAGTCAAAATTATCTTTTACTTGTATACTAAAACAGCCTTTCATTTAACTGCCTGCATGTCTGGTTTTGAGCTCTTAGAACCCTTGTTAACATCAGAGTGATATTTAGCCTGGCACTGTTGTGCTCAAAATGTTTCAATGGTTTCCCAGTGTCTTTAGGATAAGACCCATACTCCTTAACTGGATCTTAAAATTTCTCAGTGATCTGTCTCTTCAGCCTGGTATCCCTCTCTCTTTAACAAAAAGCTATGGCTCTACTGGCCTTCACAGTTGTTCAAATGCACAAAACTGTACTCGCTTAATAATGCATACTCCATCACAATTTCTCAGAGCATTTTTTTTCTTCTTTGTGTTTTGTTTTGATAACGGGTAATGTACACATTTGTCCCCTACAATTAAAACTTTCATATTTGTTTAAATGTTTGCTTAATCTTTGCTACAAAAGAGCTAAGCTTCATGAAGGCATGAATGTCAACTTGAACTCTAATACATATAAAAATACTAAAATGCACTTATTGAATGGCTAATATAATAAATTATTTTCAAAATATATTATCCTTACAAATAACCTTCTAAAAAACAAGCTTTATCTAGAAAGAAGACACAGTTTCTCTGCAAAAGAGCAAGTAGATCATATGTAATTATCTGTGTCATTTCTAAAACATCACTAAAATGAATGAAAAGGAATTTCTAAAGAGGAACAAACCAAGTCAAAGAGAATTAAAGAGTAAACTGCAGCAAGAAAACATTTTAAGTGAAAGCATAAAGATAAACGATGACTAACAACAAACCTAATCCAAAAGTAAACAAAATCCAAAAAGGAATGATTTATACTTCAGAATCCCAGAGATTCTTAAAAAATGGGAAAACTAAGTACTACCTATAAAAGTCCATAATTGACATACAAAAAGATAAATCAGCTTCTTAGTACCCACTCTAAAATACAAATAGATCACTAATTCATGAAGACATGTGCACCTCCATGTTCAATGCAGCAATATTCACAATAGTCAAGATACTGAAACAGTCTAAGAGTCCATCAATGGATTAACAGATGAAAAAATTGTGAATATATGTGTGTGTGTGTGTGTGTGTGTGTGTATGCACACACACACACACATACACACACAAAAGTAAGAAAAAACAAAAATCAGAAATAGCATATAAAATGGTAGTTTAGGCATTGAGGAGGAGGAAATGAGGAGATGTAAGTCAAAAAATACAGATTATTTGACTAATGTACAACATGAAGACTATAGTTAATAGTAGTATATTGTAGTTGAGATTTTTGCTAAAAGAGTAGATTTCAGGTGGTCTTGCAACAACAACAAAAAACAATATGAGATGATGTGCATGTTAATTTACTTGACCACAGTAAGCATTCCATAATAAATATCTAAACATCATGGTATACACCTTAAGTATATACCACAAAGCAAGCAAATATCAGATATTTAGAAAAGCCTGTAAAATAAAAGACATTAAACAAAGCAACCAAAGGAACTCAGAAGAGTAACCATATAGGGAAACAAAATCTCAGAAGCCACCATTAATATTCTCATGAGGATGTGAGAAGCAACTCCACATGATACAAGAACAGACCAAGGCAAGAGGATAGCTTACAGCCAGGAGTTTGAAACCAACCTGCGCAACACAGCAAGACCCAATATTCAAAAGACAAAAATTAGCCAGGTGTGGTGTTATGCACCTGTAGTCCTAGCTACTCAGGTGGCTGAGGTAGGAGAATCACTTGAGCTCAGGAGTTGAAAGATGCAGTGAGCTATATTGCACCACTGAAAAAAAAACTAAAAAGAATAAGCTCATATAAAAGGAGTATTTCCTAACTTGTAACCCACATCTTTAAAATTTTTAAAAAAGGAATATTAAGTGACAAAAACCATCTTTGGGAAATAAAACCATAAAGTGGGAATAAAAACAAATCACTAGAAGACAAATAAGAAAAAATTTTTAAAAGATACAGAAATGAAAAATAGGAAAACAATTTGGAAAGTCATGGAAGGAAGTCCAAAGTCTAATGAGAAGAGATCATTTTCTAAAGTTTGCTAAGCATCTATGAAGTGTGAAGCAGGGTGCTAGATGGAATAAAGGAATCTGAAAATCATTTTTAAATCGCCAACACAGTAATTGATTCAGGCAAGCATCTTCAGTGGATTTCAAAACCATAAAATGAATAGTGTTGGGTAAAGGATTGCAGTTGATCTCATAGTATCAATCCACAGATTATTTACTAATTGGATGGGGAAAGTGTATACCTTTATACTAGAAAGATTGTGCATTCACCACCTTAACCCTAATTGATAAAACTTGGCGTCTTAGTCCATCTCTGCTGGTATAAAGGAGTTTCTGAGGCTAGGAAATTTATAAAGAAAAGATTCATTTGGCTCACAGACCTACGAGAGGTACAAAATGCATGGTGCCAACATTTGCTTCTGATGAAGGGTTCAGGCTGTTTAACTCCATGCTTCCACTCATGGTAGAAGGTGAAAGGGAGCCTGCTTATACAGAGATCACATGAAGAGAAAGGAAGCAAGGGAAGCCCGGACTCTTTTTTTTAACAACCAGCTCTTGCAGGAACTAATATGAGCAAAAACTGAGTCACTTTCTACAGGGAGGGCATTAATCTATTCATAAGGGATCCAGCCCCATGATCCAAACACCTGCCATTAGGCCCTACTTTCAACAACAGAGATCAAATTTCAACATAAGATTTGGAGAGAACAAACATACAAACTATAGCCCTTGGCTTCACCAATGGGGAAAAAAATCTGGCACTATGAGCCCCTTGATGTAGTGCAGTAAAAGATACACCATCATATCACCTATGTGATATGCTTACCAAAAATATATAACCTGAATCTAAGTCTTTTATGCATGAAAAAGTCATCAGACAAATAAAGGTTGTGGGCCATTCTATAAAACAACTGCCCTGTATTCTCAAAAAAAAAAAAAAAAATTCAATGACATATAAAACAAACAAAAAATGAGAGGCTGTTCTATATTAGAGGAGCAAAAGAGACCCAACCTAAAGCAATGAATCTTGACTGGATCCTAGATTAGGCAAAGACTCGGGTAAAACAAACAAACAAATAGCAGCTAAATAAAGACATTTTGGGAACTACTAGAGTTATCTAAACATGAAATACTTTAGATAATATTAGTGAATTAATCTTAATTTTCTTAGGTGGAAAATATATCCTTAATACAAAGGAGATACACATTAAAAGTATTAAGGCTAAAATATCAAGATGTCCCAAACTTTAAAAATGTGCATATCTGTATATTTAGAAAGATAAAGCAAGTGTAGCAAAAAATTTTAACAATTAGAGAACTGGGGTGATGAGTGCTACGGTGTGAATGTTTGTGTTCCCCATAAATTCATATGTTGAAACTTAGTTATCAATGAGATGGTATAAGTTGATAAGGACTTTGGGAAGTGATTAGGCTATGTTCCCTCATGAATGAGGTAAGTGCCCTTATAAAAGAGGCCCCAAGGAGCTGTCTTTTCCTTCTAACATGAGAGGACACAAGAGAGGAGATGACACCTATAAACTAAAAAGCAGGTCCTCACCAACACAGAATCTGCCGATATTTTGATCATGAACTTCCTAGCCTTCACAACTGTGAGAAATGGGTTCTGTTATTTATAGGGTACTCAGTTTATATTTTGCTATAGTGGCCCAAATGAGCTAAAACAATGGGACTACAGGGTTTACTGAAATATATTCTTTCAATTTTTCCATATGTTTGAAATGTTTCACAGAAAACAGAAAGTACAGATTACTCTAAAAAGCAGCAAGAAAACTTCCCAGAACTAAAGGACAT